TACCTATTGGCCAAATGTAGATTAACCTAACGGACTCTAATAACCGTGTTCCTATGTAAAGCCTACCTCTGCCAGGACCACATACATACTACTTACCTTTATTCTTACCTGCAATGCTTGAATTAACAAAGATGATTTGTCGAAAAATCACTTTTAAATTTGGTTGAAACTTATCTCGAAAATGTCTTAAAAATCATTAAGTGTTTGATACGTGTGGACACCCTGATCATAGCCCACCAGTCCGCTGTTTTAACAGAACATAAGGCTATTTGTTGGCAGTTAGCATGTCATATATTAAACGACACTTCTTGACAGTGAAATGAACTTTTCTCAAACCCAACAAGGTTTTTGTTAGTGAAAGAGTGATCATATTGACATGGCAGCAAACACTCGTAGCAACAAAGAGCAGTGTATAAAGAGATAATTACCTGGCCTGAAAAAGTATCTGATGAGCTACTCTGATAGACAGCATGAACCTCAACTATACATGCAGGACTCTATGTTTGTCAGTATTTTCTATTGTGAGTGTCTCCTGTTACATGGCTGACCTTGATGCCTCAGCTGCAGGTGAAGATTGGTGCTATAGAGGAAGTAACTTATTTTTCCAGAATGAATCTGCCAGCTATAGAGGAGCACTTGACAAGCACTTCAGACTTTCCCCCTGTATATTAAACAGCTGCGTTCAAGGTCCGGAAACAGTATTTAATGTCCTCTTCCTCATTTTTATAGGCAGCTAGGTTGATAACAACCTGTCTTGATAAAAGGGACTGTTTGCTTGAGATTTGTAGGACCAATTTTTCTCTCCAATACCACCACCAAGTCCAACTACATTTTGTCCACAGGGGTTGCAATTTGAGATGCATGCTTCACTAGCAGCTGGCATCTCCTCTGTCTAATCTGAAGCCAGGCGTCTCTCTCTGGGAGCCAGCTGTAGTTTGTGTATCACCCTCTGCATGGGGCTTAGGTCTGGGCAAGTACAGGTCTTAATCCACTGTCCAGCCACTGCCCAGGAGGGGGCACAGATAGCTCGGTAAGACGAGGTGAGACAGTTGAGATAAAGGCAAAAGAAGTGGACGGGAATCTATTGATCTGTGATAACCAAGTCTATTGGATTTCTTTGAGAAAGTTTAGCTCCAAAATTGTTGCAAAGTTTTAACACAGCCCCTACCACCAGATCATATCTGTAGGCTTTGTCATTTAATAAAACTGACAGTATGGGCATAATAATAATGGGCAGAAGAATTGAATATTAGCAGACAATTGTGGCTACTTGCAGTAATTTACTTGGCTGGCTGTGTGTCATTATGCATGCAGCTGTATCACTAAATGATTGCTATAATCTTGGGATGGGCAACATATCAATATCATGACATGACACTAGATATCATCTTAAATTTTAAATACTAGAAAATCACAAGTATTGTCTTTTTCTCATTGTAAGGGCTGCATTACACTAAAGGCATTAACTGAATTTACCAGACTGTTCTAGCTACTCTATTATTTGCCCTTGCCGGCGTAGTGATTATACCCTCATTACTGATGACTATTTGTCGAAAATCTCATTGTGTAAGTATTTCTTGGAAATGCCAACAGTCAACCCTACAATACCTTCACAATATCGATATCAAGGTAGTTGGTCAACAGTATTGTGATACATGATTTTCATCCAATCCTACATCAGTCAAAAGAGAAATGTTTTCCTTCTACAGTTGCCAAGAGCATGACAACAGTCCTGTATTTTTTAAATTGATTTTTAATGTCACCCATTAATCTAGAAGTCATTTACAAATTGCTGTCTGTTTTTTGTTTGTTGTAGTACCACTGCCTGATTCAAGTATTTTCACTTAATTCCAAAGTGCTACTGACATAATTTGATTTCATGTCTGGCCATCCTGATAAGGTGCTCTGCAGGAAGTTGTAGTGTGCGATGAGTTCCTGTTAGCTACATGGTTCTGAAGGACCAAAGTTCAGTAGGACGTGGAGAAAGGAAAGGGATGCAGATCATATCACTCCAAGAATGAGGATATGGCCAATGAAGCCACTGAAAACATGCCTACGACAGGACGGTTTCCAGATATATTGTTAACATCAGTGTTTGTGTAGCAGAGCTGTTGCTCCAATGGTCAGTCGTTTTCTTGTCACTTCATTTGCATCGTAGCTGTCTGTGAAAGTGCTTTACAGGATTTGTTGGCAGTTAAATTCCTGGACAATTGAGACAATTTGCAGAGTTCCCAGGCTCTGTGTCGTTCCCTCATTAGTTTTAGCACTGTAGTTCAGCTCTTTCTTCTGCCGTTTTGGGACCCAAGTTTGGAACATAATGAGGTGGAGCAGGCAGTGCGTTGCTACAAAGGCCTGGCAATTGGGTGATTAGACACCCTCATTGAGTGTTGTTTGAAATAGCAACCAGTGTTTTTTTAGTGGGGGAGCGGCATCACTCAGGCCTCATTCAGACTGAGAACCACTGCTGCTGCAGGGGGAGGAGCACTTTCACACATAGTGCTACTTTGCTGATCAAGTAACAAAGTGACCCATCAAACACCAGGATGCCACATAAAGTCGCACACTGTGACTTTCCCGCTTCCAACTACTGTCAGTGTATTAGACACCATTTACCACCCTTTTTTCCTCATTCCCCTGCCTCTATGATCCCCTTCAGGCTTTGCCTTTTTGCGATGATCAATAAAGCATTACCAGTCCCTAATGTTCTGCTGAATTTCACACCCAGGCTGACATTATCTGTGAGCATGCGAGAAAGCCTCGTCCAAGGGGATGCAATCTTCATGTCTCTTGTTGCTCTTGTAGCATCCTCTTATCTGCACCCTTTCAGGTGTCAGCATCCAAGGCCTATACCCTCTCTCCATGTGAGCTTGCACAGTAGTTGACAGCCACTGCAGTGTTGCTCTTTAGATAGAGATGCTGCTCTTCATTACTTCTGTTACGGAGACAGACTGATGTCAGTGTCATTTCCACCCATACAGTATTTAATGTAACCAATAAACATTTGAGTTTTGATGTTCATAATACGGCATAGCAGGGGGAGTGAATATTCAGTATGCTGGCAAGATGTGAAACCAAATTCATGAAAGATGACAGGCTGAATTTGTGACCAGCAGTTGATAAGGACCAGCTAGAGCCAATAATGACAGGCAGATTGCAAAAGCTACAGGCAGTTGTTGGACACAGATGCGTAATAATATTCACATGGCATCCAACAGCTGACTGTCTGCTTGGTGTGTCAGGACATTTCAGACTTCTAAGTCCTGAAAAATACCACAAAGGAACAAATGTACAGTAAGGTTTGATGCCACCATGAAAGTCTCTGACCCGTGCTCATGCAGTTTATACAGGATGTTTTAGTGTTTGTTTTATTATTATATTGTTTAATTAAGTTTGATATGTAAGTGGCATTTGTAGCAATCTATAATTTTCAACAGTAGTCTTACAGCTGCATTACAGAATTGAGAACTTCCATTTTAATCATCACCGCAACATTACAGCCAACAATGAACAGCAAGTCCAGGAGTAGGAGGTCTAATGATGACGGGGAGCTTGGGTGGTTGTGGGTATTCTGATAAAGGCCCGTGTTATAAGCCCGGGTGGATCACCTCTTGGGGGGCAGGGGGCGTAATGACTTCCCCAGCTGGCCCCCTGGGACGACTGCGCTCGTGCTCTGCACCTCTCCTGGCCGCTTTAAGCCACTACCATGTTTGTTTAGGGAAGATTAGCAACGTAAAACCCTTACAACATCCTGAACACGCAGCAAAGGGAGACGCGATGGAGAGGACAGCGGGAAAGAGGAATAGAGATTGATGGGTAGGGAGACACTGGAGGAGAGAGTTTTTTTGTGTGCTCACCAAGAGGGTGGTTTGGGGCAGGAGTGAAGAGAGAAAAAGACCAAAGGGAAAGGGAAGTGAAATAAATGTAATTCCAGGCATTTCAAAACAAGTGGCTTCTGCTAGATTGCTTCAACAGTACTGAAGTGGTGTCTGATGGAGTCTTTGTTTGGACACATGCCAGTCACTTGCCATTCCATGCATAGCAGATAGCATCTTGTGAAGCTATGTTCAAAGACCAAACCTGGCAACAAAGTCTCTCAGTTATTCTCCATGATAGATATTTATAGACACTAAAGTGCTTGGTGAATGCACCTGTCTGGCTGAAACTGTCCTCTGGGTAGTGTAAAACTGTAAAGTGCATTTTTATCTACTAATCTGGACAGGTCTCCTGGTGCACTGTTGTTACAGATATAAAGCAATGATGTGCATCGAGTATATTTACAGGAATATACTAACTGCCTTGTGAGAATAAATCATCCATAAGATATAAGTTGAACTCCCACAGGCTGTTACTTTGATTTGTGTGTTTTTTTTATTGTATCCTTCTAAGAAGCCAGGGTTTGCATTTTAATTGACTGATAATTGATACACAGACTATGACTGAAGTGAGTAGGCTTTCTAAGCTGTGGTGCACCAGGTGTGTCACAGGTGTGTGTGTCAAGCCATGGCAGGAAACAGATGTGCAGTGATATCAACGGCTGCACAGGTCTGGGAGACTATCAGCACGGGCCAGCCTGCCGTCTCACTGCAGTGCTCCACTTCCTGTGGGCTTAAATCATGCCAGTCCATGATAAAAAGAGCAGAGCACTGAGTTGAAAGCACTGGTATTTTGAGAATAACCTGTGGCTCCCTGATTATAAACCTTAGTGATTAAAGAAAGATGGTAAGAGGATGGATGGCAAGGTAAATAAGTTGGTCAGTTGGTAACTAATTGTTGAGAATTCCAGGAAAAACCAGGGGAAAAACAATAACATTTCCCCATTAAACAGTTGAGTAGCAAATACAACCTTGGCAAGTTTTGTGGCTCATTATAACAGACAGGAAGTTTAAGGAGTTACGGTTGTCCTCCTGGAAAGGTCTCAAGCTTTGACCACTTGTAAGTTGTCAGTTTCAATATATTTTTGTTCACAGTTCTTACAAAAACTGTGTTTGTTCTCTTCACAGCCCCTGTCCAGAGCAAGGAATGGGTGATGAATTTAACCTCATGGATCATTCAGACCTGTATATCTTAGACTTCAGTAAGTATCCTTGTCAATATCCACGTCTCTTTTGTTAGCTTAAAGGCACATTTCACACCAAAAATACATGCATGTAGTGCTACTTTGTCACTGACCTAAAGGGATAGTTCACCCCAAACCAAGAATGCATTTGTTCCTCTTACCTGTAGGGCTATTTATCAATCTAGATTGTTTTGGTGTGAGTTGCCAAATGTTGGACATATCTACTACAGAGATGTCTGCCTTCTCTCCAATATAGTGGTACTAAATGGTACTTGGCTCGTGATGCTCAAAGCTGCAAAAAATGCATGTGAAAAACTCAACATCAGTGTCTCTTTCCAGAAATCATGAGCACCTCTGAGCTAGCTAATGTTACAGCTCAGCTCAGGAGGATACCATTAATTGGCAGGTGTAGTTTGGCAGAAAGAAAATAGTTGCTACATTAAAGTCTTCGCAACAAGGTCTGTGGTTTATCTTGAGTAACAGGGTTGTGATCTCTGGGTAGAGGCATTGCTGTTGAGTTTTTAAAATGCATTTTTTGGTGCTTTGAATGCCATCTAGTTCCATTATATTAGAGAGAAGGCAGACATCTCTATGGTCGATATCTCCTACACTCGGCAACTCACACCAAAACAATCCAGATTGATAAGCAGCACTACAGGTAGGAGGAAATATGTATTTTTGATTTGGGGGTGAACTTCCCCTTTAAAAAGGTATCTAAGTATTTTAGACCACCTTAAATAAGACTTAAGAAGCTATCTTGTGGTCATCTTGATAAATGTTTAAGAACCAATACCTTCTCTACTCCACTGTTTTATTTCCCACCTTGCCTTTTATGTCTGGCCTTGGCCTTGCTTTATGATATCACATGGGACACTTCCGTCTCATTCACTACCAAATATAGCCATTTCCTGCTTGCACTGGGGTAGCCTGCAATGCTGTCAGGTCACAGTTTGTGTAGGTGGGTTTACACAGGGACCGTATGGGACTGGCAGTACCCAGTGGCATCCCCTGTGGCATATGCCTCCACGTGCCAGTCGCGTGTGCCTTCACACTGTTTACCACTGAACATATGGTGGAGCAGCTATGACGGTGATAATACTTGGGATGAAGTTTGTGATAAGATGATTTGTGTACTTAGATGATTTAATACTGGAATCATAATGATCTGCTTGTCCTCATGAACACTGTTTGTTTCAGCTGTTTTTCTGGGCTATGGTACGAACAGAACATGGTGATTTTTCCACCATGGAGATGAAATCAAATCCCTTTCATCTACAGATTCTTAGATCTAAACTGCCTGGATCCATTTTGAATTCCCACAGCTGAAATGGATATTCTGGATATGATTAGTGTCTTTGATCAGCCTATGACTCATTACACTCTCTTCTTTTCAGGCCCTAATTTGAAGACGTTATGCAAAATAGCTGTTATTCAGTACAGTCTGGAGCAGTCAGGACTCCCACATGATATCAGGTCAGACAAGCATCCTCTTCTCAAACATTAGCGCTATTTGCTCATAGAATTGACATATTGTTGTTCATGCTGTTTGTAGTATGCTCGTCATTGTTGCCACCACTGTCTCTCTCAATAACGAGGCTGTTCGTCAAAGAGGCAAATTATGACTCATTATCCTCATTTAACCAGCAGTAGGTCTTATTCAGGCTTTTGTCTGACTTTACTTTAAGACCCTACATGGAAAATTTGTGTGTAATTATATCATCAACTCATTGCATTAAGGTTTGTGTGCGGGAAAGAAACAGACGATCATGATGAAACTAAAAATGTTAAAGGCAAATCTTCTTGGCTATCACAGTCCAGCTGACAAAACCCAATTCACTGAGTACAGTTTTAATGTGGTTCTCAATTAATTTTGTGCCATTGAAAAATGATTTTTATCCTTACCAAATTTCAAATTTAGCATCTTTGGACTTTACAGTGCCTGTATTTTTTTATGAACTGATCAAAAAAAAAAGCCAAACACAGAAGTTCTGAACCAGTAGAACACAAAGTGAATTAACAGCTTTGCAACATTTCACATCTCCAGATCCCCAAATCACTGTTGCTTAATCAAACAAAAAAATGCTAGAAAAAATAATCTCTCAGTTAACCTGCTACGTTAGACAGCTGGTTGTTGAATTATCTATTAATTATGTTTTGTTGTGTAGTTAATGACAGCCATGGTTCTGTTTCATCACCGCCAGACAGGATGTAACAATAGTCGTCAACATTGCTGCAATTCTACTGTCTTTTACTCAGCACTTCCTCTCGCTGGCTGCTTGAGCTGCGGGTGTGTAGAAGAGCTCAGCTTTTCCTGTGACTGGATACAGACATGCACACACACTAAGGTCATGTTAAACATGGAGGTCTTAGAAATGACAAAAATATGAATACCAGTTTTATCTGCTTTATTTCTTTTACATTAAATAGAATAAATACAAATACAGCCACACAACAACTTCCTTTCTGTAAAGCCAGTGAAGTAATAGAATAAATAAATGAATGCAAAGAATGATATTCTCAGTTGCAAGCAGGTAGGAATTTAACATGTAGCACCTTTTGAAATTTTTAAAAACACTGCAGCATAAGTATAAAGAAAAAGTTGCTTAAAGAAACAAGTGTGATAATTTAATTATACATGATTTTGACAACTTTTAAAATTATTTTGACACGACATGCAAGAGAGACTCAAAAAATTTGAGAGCCCCACTTTGATTTGTTGTGACATTGTAATCACAGGGTTGGCAAGTTGTAATAACCATGTCAAAGCTAAAAACATAAAATAGAACCCATAAAAGCAAAATACATGTCCAAAAATATTATGTTTTCAGTAATTACTGCCTGCCAGCCTCCGTTATCCTTCCCAGTGATACAGACCATAATATTTTGCTTCATAGGGAATAATATTCACACAGCCATTCCATTTCAGGCCTATAACCTCTTCTCAAATAACCTTAATGAATAGACTCATTAGACAAGTGCATCTGGAATGGAGGGGTTGCACTAATGTGATTTTCTTTTTTACACATGAACCCCATGGAACGTGATACTAATTACTCCTCTCAGCCGCTCATTTCTCTCACACTGTCACTGCCACCTTGCACACTCCCCACTTTGCAGTTGTGTTTCTAACCCTTGGAGGGTTTCCAGCGGGGTCACAAGACTCTGGTTAACTCCCTTTGCCCCTCACTGGCATCCCCAGCTCCAATGCCACTCTCACCTCTTAAACACACACGCGCGCAACGAAAAAACGAACAAAGCAATTGAGAGGGAGTGAGTGTGAAACCAGAGCCAGTGATAACAATCTGGGGCTCAACCTCTGACCTGTCAGCAGGTCAGCGCTAGACCCTGTTGTCAGCCCCTGCTCCTGGTTCTCGTGTTACAGCGGGGCCTTCCCTCATCCTCGTCCACATCGTTGCCCTTCACTCGGACGGGGGGGTGAGAGCAATTGTCACACAGTTGCTTGATTAACTCTCATCGCAGTAGATTTCAAGCATTGTGGATATTTCACACCATATAAGTGTGTTTTCTAGTTGAATTGAATAAAAGATTATGAGGCGAAGACATCAGCTGTGCCTAAAATCTTATAGCCAGCAGTACGTTCCAAACAAAATCAGTATATATGCTCACAGTGCAAGATTCTACAGCAATCCCTATGTAATTGTATTTTGTTTGGAGCATACTGGGGTGTTGAGGCCTTTTTTAAGACTGCCAGCCCAAATCTGTTATTAGATATTTCAAAATATAGACATTTCATGGCGGACATTTTGACATGTCATAGTATGGAAAAGCACAGGTGAATTTAGGTCCTGGTATGGTGCATGCTGGCTCACTGGTAAAGCTTACTGGCACACTTAATGGAACTGAGCTGTCATGTTAATGTTATCAGTTTCACCTGTGCTTTTCCTACCATGACACGTCAAAATCTCTGCTGTGAAAAATGTCCATTGTCTCCAGATTGATTTTAGAGTCTGGACAGCAAAAAAACACATGAAATGATTTTTGCAAGTGTGATCCAAACCACATTAGGAGGTGGATGAAATGCCATTCCAGTCAGATTTCTAAAGATGCATCTCTGTCTGGCCGCTCAAATTGGATTTCAGAATATCTTTGAACATAACACACAATGATGATGTCAAAACCAGAGTGATAGAAGCGCTGACGCCAAAATAAATTGTTTGGAGGACAAAATGACGGACCTCCATTTCTCATGTTCCCGTGTTGGAAAGCCGTGTCACTAGCATTGCAATGTAGTTACTGACTTCATTACCACAGGAGCCCATGTAGATAGGTTGGTGAGGTGGACAGACAAATCCGATCTGATCACTTGCAGACAACAGTGCAGACAGTCTGTCTTCAATATCTGATTTTAAAAATCTGATTTGCCTGCAGTCTGAAGGCAATCCTGAAAATCCTGAAGATTAAGGGTGTTATCACACTTAACCTGCGATCTCTATTTTTGCTTTCTATGTATGCAAGCTCACTTGGTAACCATGGTAACACATACGTACCTAAGCACAAGTGCAAGAATTTTCCCTGATCCATCAGAAAGTGAAAGACACTTAAACCAGAGGTGTGATGTGTTTGTCTCCTACCCTGTCTATTGTAGCAGCTCCTGAATAAAGAATGAGTGAAATGATGAAACGTAGAGACCACACAGTAACTATCCTGCCAAAATATTATGCTACAAAATGCCCATTTCTATTTGTTGGTCACTATTTATGGTATGGTATTTATGGTCCAGTTACAGTGTGGACTAATAATTGTGAACACAAAGCAGACCATAACTTTTTTCTTTGGTCTGAACCAATTCTATGAAGTTATCCTGAGATTCTTGCCTCTGAATGTCCCTGTTGTTCACTCCAGGTGGGAACTGGCAGCCATGACCACCAACAGCAACATCAGCAGGCCCATCTTCTCCTCCCACGGCTGAGGCTGCTGAATGTGAAACAGAAGCGGGACTTCTTGCTCTGTTTCAGGACACCAAGCTTTTATCTTTCTAATCAGCTGAGCTCCGGCAGACTGTTTTTGTAGAGTTTGGATCTGTACGGGATTTATTTTCCACATTCTCCAAGTGAAAACTCATTACTGACCAAAATATCCTGCATATGATTTCCTCGGGCACCACGAGCACTTGCTCATGTCTGAGGATATTTTAACCCTTGGAACACTGGTTACTCGTGACAGAAATTGTTGACACCTTTTTTGTCTTTTTTTCTAGCCTCTCTAGAAATCCAATCAGCCTATGATAATCATAGACTTCTAATCTTAAGCACAGGAAGAGACAAGAACTTCAGCCAAAGGTCTTGAGAGCTAACCTCTTTGTTGAGAACGTCGTCCTGATGTCACACTCAACAGATCTCCTCCAAGAGACACGTGAACTGTGTGTTCCACATAGAGACTAAGATGGTCATGAGTTCGTATATCTTGCAGCTCTAACTTGGTCATAAAACCATGTAATACTACGACGCCCATTTGTGGGAAATGAAGTTAATTACACCGTATATGGAGTGGATGAGGCTAACTTATTACTTTGGTGTTGATTGCAAGGTGAGAGAGTATTGGGTACAACATTTTGGGGTGTTATGCTTGTGAAAGGTTCTGTTTGACTGGCTTTCAGTGCTCAAACTTTTTTCCCTATTTTTTTCCCATCATAACTTGGCGAGCACCTTTCTCCTTGTAAGTGTCTCAAAGTTGATTTTGCAGGGCGACTGAAGCAAGCCTTGTAAAACTAATCAAGTCCATCTACCTCCCTCAATAGCATGTATCATTCAGTCTTTAATAAGACTTCCATACATTAGACGTTTTCTTCCCCCCGAAAAAAAAAAAAGCCTTTTCACAGCGAAGTTTGTATTTGTGGTTGTCTGTTATATTCTTCCAAGAAAGGCTGTCCTATCACGGGAAGAGTGCGACTCACCTGCCACCCCACCCCTCACTCTGCAGTTTGTTTTTCAGTGCCAAATGTAGAAAGGAATCATGATGCAAATATATACTGTGTATGTGTGTAAGCACGTGGTCCCGTCTACACATAATCCTAGTCCACCTGCTTCAGTTTGCCTGTTGTTGTTGAGGGAGATGATCACTAATATGCATAATGTAGTGGTTCCACTTATAGACAATCCTACAGCGATCAGAGACTCTCCTCGTGACCTGTGCTTATTCACAGCACGGTGAAAAACCAGGACAGGGTGCCCGTGTGTTTGTGTACAACTACGAGCAAAGCTGAACCTGAGCAGATGTTATAAACGCATAAGGGCTGTTATTAGATTACACACTCGCCACACAGCTGGAAAATGACTCTGGATTAATCAAATTGGGGATGTTTATTCAGGTTGTGTGTTTGTATTCTGATTACAAATTTTAGAACAAAAGTTTGAAAACACAAGAGCGGTGGTGGTGGTCTTTTTTAAAGCTTTTATCTCCATCCACGAGTTAAAGGAAAAGGCTGGTGATATTCTGCATTTTTTATTAAATCAACATAGTGAACATAAAAAGACCAAAACCTACAATGTGTTAGTCCATCTCTCAACACTACCCTACCAACTTTTGGTGAATTAATTTGCAAAAACAGCTGGGCGCTGTAGTTTTGAACAGCTGTGCTGCGTTCACATGGAATCAGGCAGACGGTAGACGGCACATGGATAACACCTTTTAGGATGGCACGGGAAAAACAAACAGTCCAACAAGATGGCAGGGCGGCAAAGAAGTAAAAAAAATTAACTTTGAACAGCAGTGCCATCTACCATTATCAATACCAGCCTCACTTCATTTAACTGTCCTGCTCTCATTCACTAAAATGATATTCGATTTTCCATTTACTGTCTCCCTGATTGCATGTGAACGCATTACTTAAACATGAGTAAATAAAGCTTCTTCTTTGGGACTTTTTTTCAGACGAGCAATTGCTGCACTTAGAAGTACTCACAGCAGCAGGAAAGTGTGACGCTGTGGCTCATTTATGTGTTTTTAATAGTTTTCGGACAATGAAAGTTTATGGAGTAAGATTTATTTTGGGACTTTGGATACACCGACAATACTTGTTAGAACAATTAATTGTTGTTTTTGGTCTTTTTTGAGAGATTAGTTGACAAAAGGAAAAAAAAAAATCTGAATATCACCAGACTTATCTTGTGAATATGACATGCCATCTAAATGAATAACTTGGTGAGAATGAATATACAGGCAAAAAGATTTTATTTATACTGCCTATTTATTTTGATGTGAATAGGAACTGTGTTACCACATACTTGTGAGCTGCATCAGTGTTTTTCAGTCCTGGTCTTTGGGACCGTGTGCGCTGCCGTTTTGTGTTCACCCAGATAGTTGAATTGAATCTGTATCAGTCAGTCTCTGATTAGCTGGTCAGGATTAAACCCCGCAGGGCTCTGGGTCGCAAAAATCAGGACTGGATGACACTGACCTAACATGGTAAATGTTTACAAATCTATGTAATTTCATGTAAAGCAGTGTAAACAATCTTAAATGCAGGTTGAAGTCACCAGAAAACTGCACTAAAGCCAATCGTGGCATGGCAGGCCTTACAGAGAGGAGACGTGTCGATGCTGCTTTTTGCCTAAGTAGAGTTCAAGAGTTTGAGACGTTCGCCTGCCCAAACCAAGTCTGAATTTTCTTTATAGACCGGTGGTGCCAATGAGACTCAGTCTTATGCCCTGTACACTGCACATGCACATGGACATATCACACACTTGATATTCCTCTGTACCCCTGGACTATACAACAGCTGATGCAGTGAAACCACAGGGAAGCTAATCGTGTGTTCACGGGGAAAAAAAAAAAACTACTGGTGAACAAATCAAACTGTTTATGTGACACCAAATGGCTGCAGGCAAAACTGATGATGTTTATTTCGTTTTTTTCTAATGTGTGGTGTGGAAGTCATTTTTATTTTAGGATTTTGGTCCTTATGCGTGTGAAGATTATGGGTGATGGTATTTTCAGTCGAGAACTTTTCAGGCTTATGACATTAAATATCAAGTTAATGACAATGTAGACACTATGGTCGAAAATAAAATACCTGCACAACACATTTCCTCAGTGATGGTCGCTCACTTGCCTCCAACAAGGCGATGCTAATGACGAGTGATTTTTGCCCACATATATTGGCGATACATTTTTAATGGCAGTAGTGTAACACTGCAGTTTCTGAGGCTCCCCTGCTGTTTCTCATTTAACTCTGTGAGAGGGTTTCAGCAAATAGTTGATCAAACTCGGCAGCAGGGAGACTCTTGCTTATCAAAAAGCTGCTTCTGTTGAGAAAAGTTCATCATCAGATCATAGCGCGCACTCATTATAACGCATTCAGAGTGAGCAGTAATTATTTCCCAAGCAGAAGCAAGTGGACTGATTTCATGCCAAGAAATGTGTTCTATCTTTAGGGCTTACAGTATATGGTTGAATAATTCATAAACAACAAAGAATGCTTGGGGAAAAAAAACAGAACAAAGTATGGAGTGTATTTGGGTTTATTTTGCAACTGTGCAGGCTCCCTATGTTTATCGTATTTATTTTATTTTATATTTGACACATTTTTCAGAGGGGGCTGTCAAGGTTGGTCAGGACTTCCTGTGCAATATGCTTTATTACTGTATCAATAATAAATCTGAGACAATTTGAGTTGTTAATATTTGTATGTAATTTAAATGTGCTATACATTCAGTTTCTTTACTTAAGCTGTACGGATTTGATCAAGACTGAACCGACCATGTCACTCAGTTTTGCCATCATTTGCACTCTGAAATGCCACAGTCATGGATGGATTACTGAACGGGCCTCTCAGGCACAGGCCCAGGGGCCCTCCTGGCATTTGTTTGCAAAATATTACTCGAAGAGACATGTACCAACCAGGAAGAGACTCAAAATGACCACAAGGAGACTCAAAATGACTTCACAGATGCAAAGCAACTTCAGAGAGACATAAAATGACCACAAAGAGATAAAGAAGAATACATATATGCAAAGCAACTACAAAGACACACAGAACAACTTCAGAGATGCAGAGCAACTACGAAATGACCACAAAGACTCAAAATGACCAGAAATGCAAAGCATCTACAAAGAATCTCAGAATGACTACAAAGACTCAAGATGATTACAATGAGACACAAAACGACTTCACAGATGCAAAGCAACCACAAAGGGACATAAAATGACCACAAAGATTCAAAATAAATAGACAGAATGACCACAAAGAAAAGAAAGAAGAAAAAAGGAATACATAGATGCAAAGCAACTACAAAGAGACTCAGACCGACTTCAGAGAAACTACAGGGACACAAAACAACTTCAGAGATGCAAAGCTATTACAAAGAGACTCGAAATGACCACAAAGAGACAAATGACTACAAAGAACCTCAAAATGACTTCAGAGGTGCAAAGCATCTACAAAGAGACATAAAATGACCACAAAGATTTGAAATAAATAAATGCAGAATGACTACAAAGAAATAAAAAAAGGAATACATAGATGGAAAGCAACTACAAAGAGACTCAAGATGACAACAGAGAGACTCAAAACAACCACAAAGACATAGAATGGCTGCAAAAAAGTAAAAAAGGAATCCATAGATGCACAGCAACTACAAAGAGACTCAAAATGACCACAAAGAGACTCAACCCGACTTCAGAGAAACTACAGGGACACAAAACAACTTCAGAGATGCAAAGCTATTACAAAGAGACTCAAAATGACCACAAAGAGACAAATGACTATGAAGAGACTAAGAATGACTACAAAAACTAAAGATGATCACAATCAGACACAAAGCTGCTTCACAGATTCAAAGCAACTACAAAGAGACATAAAATGACCACAAAGAGACACAGTATGATCACAAAGAAATAAAAAAGGAATACACAGATGCAAAGCAATGACAAAGAGATGCAAATGACCACAAAGAGACTCAAAGTGACTACAAAGACACAAAATGACCTCACAAAGAGACACAAAGACTTCAGAGATGCAAAGCCTGTGTGTCTTGCTCTTAGGTGTCGGGGCCTTCTGCATGTCTCAGCCAAGGGGCCCATACTGTCACAGTCAAGGTTGGAAAGCAAAAAGATTCTTATTTAAACAATGAACAGACTCTCTACAACAAGGGGGATTGAAGTCCTTTTTTCCCCATCTTGATTTTTCTCCGTCTTTTATTTTGGAGCTACGCTGCAACATCAAGCTAAAATTCAATAAAGACTCATGGAAGTCAAAATAAAATGGCACGCTAAAATCATGACAAACTACATGATTCCACTGAGTGGAAAACTTAAATGACTTTGATTGTTCAAAAAACAAGCCAGATGTGCTCTGATTTCCTTTATCACTGGAGTGCAGTCTTTTGGAGCTACTGTATGCGACACTTAATAGTTACCAGGTCTTTGAACCCTAGTTTCTGCTTCCTGCCCAGTTCCAGAGAGCTGAATCTGCCCCAGCCGGCCTGTCTGATAGCCCTCATCATCTTCTTCAGTGGGTACTCTGAAGCCATGATGCCACCCAACCCCCCCGCTGGCTTTCAGACTGCCTAATGGGACGCATGCGGCTGCTTTGGGGGGTCCCATCATTAGAAAGTGTCTCACCCTGAACCCCAGCTCCAGTCTTTGCCTCTGCTACCAGTAGTGGCCTGGCAGTTTGTTCCCGTCTGTCACCAGCCCCGTGCTATAAAGCCAGTGTTATCTGCAGTGTTAAGTGCAGGCCACAGACGTAGGGTCAGCTTAATGTGAGGCAGCAGAGACACCCTGTCCCGCCTGGCCTCGCCGCACACAGGAAGCAGGGCTGAGCTGAGTCCCTCTGTCTGGCCCCGGAGCCTTGCTTCGGCCAGCAGCGCAGGCGCTAATGCAAGGAGACACTCGGCCAAATGACTCTCTAATTTCCCCTCAGGACTCAAACGATCCCACTGGCCCTTGAGAATCAGACTGAGGATTTGTTCGGAGTGATTTGTTTTGTCTTGTCCCCCCTGTGCAATTCCCTCTCAAGTTCTAGTTCTCTGCTCCTAGCGTTGTTGTGGCCACTAAATTGGGTATTTGAGAAAAGATGCGTTAAAGGAGCACGAGCCCTCAGAGGATAGAACCTGTGGCTACAAAACTTGTGCAAAAGTGTTGGAAAAGAAAGCAACAATCCTTCTTTTCTCTGCACTGAAATACAGGCAAACTTTAATCTGTAGTTTTCCATGAAAAAGCGACTCCTGTAGGATGAGTGGCAGCCATGTTTTATGATGCCCATATAATCTGTTCATCTGCTAAAGGAACTAATTTTGTGAGTGACCGAGCTTCTCAGCTTCTCAGTGCGTCACGTTTACAGACCTGTAGCTTAATTCCCTTCCAACAGGGGTTTAATGGAGTGACTAACACACACGCAGCTAAAGCCCTTTGAATACAAACTGCCATCGCTGACTGCCTGAGAAATCTGTTGAGAAATTAAACAATGATGCATCAAGCTGGTTTCACTGCTGAGATCTCAGTGATAATGACATTGAGGTTTATAGTCTGATGCTGTGCTCAGGCTGTTGTGTTTAACTTCATGGTGCCTCATGAAACATAACACACTTATAATGCACTTAAAATATGCATCCATTTTTACAATGTCTACCTTCCCAGTGTGTGGTATTATTTTTACTGACCAGGGACACTTCACCTCAAAATCAAAATACACATTTTTCCTCTTAACTGTAGTGCTGTTTATCCATTTAGACTGTTTTAGTGTGAGTTGTAGAGTGTTTCAGGTATCGGTTGTAGAGATGTCTGCCTTCTCTTGAATGTAATATATTGCAACTAGATGGCACTCAGCTTGTGGTGCTCAAAGTGCCAAAAAACATACATTTGAAAAACTCAACAGCAGTGTCTCTTTCCAGAAATCATGACCTGGTTACTCAAGATAATCCACAGACTTTGTTGTGAGCAGTTTCATGTGGGAACTATTTTCTTTCTACAGAACTGCATCCACCATCTGTATCACAGAGGGATGAGTGCATCTACTGCTGGCTCACCTAGCACCACTAAGCTAGCAACCCGGTCTCACCCCAGAGTTGACGACATCCGGCACTTGGGTTGTGACTTGCGATGTTTGACACAGACAAAAAAAAAAAAAAAAGCCACGCCTAGATGTAGGCCTAGGTATGATACGCGGCCAATAGCCATTATAGTTTAACATCACAGAGTGGTGGGTCAAGCAAACCCTGACTTTCACCCGGTAGAGAGGTGTTTGTGTCCCGTGAATTTATAAAGCCAAAGCCACATCAACGTATATAAACATTAAATTTCCTGTGAAAACGGAAGTGTATCTTGAAAAAAGACAATGCATGAAACAGGCAGAACTTGACACGGTGTCCCACAGTGTCATGTTTCAGGCAGTGGTGTAGTGCTAGTTGTTGAGATGGATGTACCAACAGATAGATAGGTAGGTTACTGGGGAGGAAATGGGTATACTCTACTACATATTTCAGTGGCTTTTTGGTTGATAGGTGGGTATAACCTGTATACCCTGACTATACCCTCCACTACACCACTTGTTACAGGTGTCTATGCGTTGTTAGCTGTTGGACCAGAGTTCCTATTCGGACTTCTCACGTTTCATATAAATAACAGTTCAAGTTATCTAATGGGTGAACACTGGTATAGTGGGACAATCGGTAAAATGGGACAGTTAAGCTTCTTAATTTTCATCTTTTCATGTATATAGCATATTTCCATTAGGCCTACTAAAAAATCAACACTTAGCTTATCATTAGCAAGTACGTGATTAAAGAATATAGGTTCTGTGGCTATGACATCACTTCCAGGGTCATGATACACCATATTCAACAACCTTGCAGTGAATCATGGTGACAAGTAAAATGACATGGCTTTTTGAGGAAAATAATGTTAAGTGTTATTAAAAAATAAAAAATAGAAAAATGATGGATAGCTTGTAATTGTTAGTTATTTTGTTATGGGATGTCATTGTGAATCAGATTTTTTTTTTTTTTTTAAAAAAATCCCATTTATAATAATCTTTTTTTTATAAAAATGTGATTTTGACAATGTCCCAGTTTGCAAATGGAGTATTGTTAAACTGGAACAGTGTGTTACTGGCAAAGTGGGGCAGTCATTCAAGTCATTCTAATGGGGGACTTGACTTCTCTTTTTATGTGCCCCTCATACATTTAGCAAGCTAGATATTTCAACAAGGATTTACTTAACACTTAACCAGACATGACATGATGATGAAGAACGTGTTTGAGGTGTCCAAGTTTGCCAGTAAAGGTGTCCCACTTTGATAGTTACCCTGGGTAAAATGTGGTTTGGGGTCACTGTGTGTATGAGGAAGAGTCATCCATACTGTCTTTAAAATGTCTTTCGTATAGTAGAGCTCTGAAGCTATTTAGAATTATATCATATGAAGTAGGGATGGGTCATGATTTTCGAATTTCGAATAGTCGTTTTATTTTTGAAAAATCGATTTTTTAATGTGACAATTACTAGTCGCCGTCTTATTTCCCCCCTTTATTTGACATGCAATTCAGCTCCTAACCGCATTATTCGAAAAATTGTCGAATAGTTGCCATGATTTTCGAATAGTGTTTTTGCTTGTGCTGCCCATCCCTAATATGAAGGGCTAAAACATGTGTACCATAATTGGAAATGATGCAGAATGTAAATTATCATAAGGTGTCCCACTCAACTAGTATTCGCTCTTTTTCACACACATTTGGAAAAAAAAAAAAGAATTGAGGAAAGTCCAAAACATCTTCTTTTCTCTCCCATTAATCATCTCATGGCCCCTCAGATGTATCTGATGACCCTTTGGAGGGGCCCGACCCCTGGGTTGAGAGCCAACTGTGTATTAAGTAGTCAAAATTAGTTCTACCTTGAGCAGCCAGTTTTACTTTTGAAGCCTCAGTCAGGTCAGTTAATAAATCTTCCATACTTTTTCTTAAGTGTATATATATAGCATATATATATATATACTTATATATATGTCCTTCTCATCTCAGGTTGTGTTTGTTAATGTTTTAATCAAAGCTGTTGCCATGACAGTTAACTAATTGATAATTACTAGTCACACAAGACTTCAGGCTTCCCCTCAACTGTTTATCTGAAGAGCTCCAACTGTCCTCAGTAAACAGCACAGCAAATGTTTCCTGATCGTCAGTGCCAGGTTTGACTGGCCACTTCATTTTCTTTTTTAGAAACACAATATTTGCGCAGGATACGGTTCAACACATGTAAGCAATAGAGCTGAAATGATTCGCTAATTACGCATGCGACACATCACATTTTTAACACTTGTATATTAATAACACATCTTGGTCACTTCAAGTGGCAGAATCGGATCCTGCGTCCGATCCGACGGCTTATTTTTAGGGCGCACATCACTAAATATAACCCGCCCCTCTCCGTGCTGTGTTATCGCGTCACAACATGTAACATGATCCCGGTTTGTTTTGTTTTTTTCTTCCCCGCCGGCTGAGATGGATGACTGGTGTCGGGTTTTGGGGCTATAAAAGGAGGGACAAGCTCGAGGGGCTCCACACTCATCATCCAAAGTCAAACCTGCAGAGGTAGAAGAGATAGAGTCCTCAAAGGATTAACCTCCTGTCAGTGGGCCTGCTCTGGGTCACAAGTATTTCATCAGTTTTTATTTTTGATCTCATTTTTTTTTTTTTACACCTCTGGGTAAACCTGTATGTTTCACCTCAGCTGGCTACACCATCAAAATGACTTTTTGGTGCACCTCCTGCAGATGTCATGTAAAGTCTCCGTGCACCTCTCATCATGTGCCCGAGGATCACCACGGCGCCTCCTGCAGAAGGTTCAGGTCAGTCTCCTCCTTCCTCTCTGCTCCACGTCCTCTAGTGGCTGAATCAACACAGGGCTGTTAAAGAAAATTAAGACCCAACTCTGCTGCCTGCAGTGCTTGCACCATAGGGAGCACTTAATCCAGTTTTCTCCTGTCTGCAGCCTGGCACTATATGAGATACATACTAATCCAGCCACAATTACGCTCTTACTGAATTTGAAAAAAATAATGAAGCTGGTGCTCTATCAGGATGCTTGGGTGAAGAATCAGCCTGAAAGAACATCACCAGTCCTGTTTCTTTAAAATGTCAGCTACTGGGAAATTATTATGTGTCTGTGAAGTTAATTATGGTATAATATTATTTTAGTTTAGTATTTGTGATAACCAGTAAAAAAAACAACACCCCAGCCACAGGCTATCAGTTACATAATTATAATAGCTCCTCATTGTTAAGGTGCTGGGATACAACCTGATTAAATTCTCCTTTTGTGGCACTTTGTGTGTCCTTGTGACGTGGGGTGCCCTGCTCCGAGGACACCCACTTTATAAGGCAATGAAGGGAGCATCAGAAGCCCAGCCTCTTCTTTGTGTGTGACGCCCACGCCTGAAGCCCTGGCAGCTATAAAAACCCCAGGCTCTCTGTGGACGGGCCCAGACAGATACTGATCAGACAGACTGAAGTCTATTGAGAGCCTTCCTGTCTGCTGCAGACACGACAGCCTCTCATATCAGCAGTTTCCATAGGAACCCTTGAGGAAGAGACACCAGGCTGAATTAAAAAAGAGGCTAGATCAGTTCAGGCCAATTACTCATTTTGTCTTCGTTTGATTTCTTTTTTCCACTCTTGCCTCTTGGAGAGGGATTACCTCACACAATTTTTTTTTTTTTTTGGAAATGCAAGTGCAGCAGTAGACAAAACTTTGGCTCCCCAGCTTTGGTTTCCTCAGTTAACTTCCAAGCTCTGACCTCAGTGACCATGGTCTCTCACAGATCCACCAAAGGAGCATCCAAAGCCCGACGGGACCACATCAATCATGAGATCAGGAATATGCGCGCCCTGTTGCCCATCACACAGGAGGACCAGGAGCGTCTTTCCTACCTGCACTCCATGGCTGCCATCTGCGCCTACATCAGGAAGTCTGTTCTCTTCCAGGGTAAGTCTTCACACTAGTCAATCTTTAATACCTTTGAACTACTGATCTACATTCAACCTGCGTCGTCGTGAAACTAAATGGGACTAAGTTTGCAGCACTGCAGGGACTATATCAAAGATAAAGGATGTGACAACCTGCAGAGTGACACAGAGTGTAACAAAGGCTGAACTCACTCTTTCCTCCCCAAGGTCTTCCAGCCGGAGAGAGATCACACTGCTCTCTGCCATATGAGGCCTTTCTTCAAGCCCTGCACGGCTTCATCCTGGTCACTACCACCCAGGGGAGGCTGGTGTATGTGTCTGAAAATGTAGCTGAATATCTTGGCCTTTCAATGGTGAGTCTTGTTTACTATAACAATGCCATCTTTTACTATTTATGTTGCTTATTACTGTGTCGTCACTAATGGTTTAACCTCATTTTTCCAGATAGATGTGCTTCAAGGAGACACTTTCTTCGACATGGTGGAACAGTCAGACGTTGATATTGTTAAATCAAACCTGGATATTGAAAACAACTCATCATCAGGTAACTATAAGACTCTGATATCACTTTAAAATGTTGCATTTTAATCTGCAGTTACAGTGTATTTTGCCCTTTTTCTATCCTGTTGGTATATGAAAGACTAAACTGACATGTCATCTTTCTCCAGAGAGGAGCTTTATATGCTGTATGCAAACCTCCAAGGCCTTCAAGCTGCAACACGGCAGCTGCTGTTCCATGATGGTCAGAGGGAGCTTCCAGTCTTTCCCTCAGCCTCTCCCATCCTCCTCTTCAGCCTGTCCCACCAACCAGCCTCTGTTTGTGGCCCTCTGCACCCCCACGGTCAACCGCCTGCGGAGCTCAGACTCCCACTTCTGTCACAGCTTCAGCAGTGTCCACAGACTCGACATGACCTTCACTCAGCTGTCGGACAGGTACATTGATAAGTCCTTATTTAAACAGATATAATCAGCGTGTTCTGATAGTGGTGACTGATGAACATGTTTATGTCTTTCTTTTTCAGTGTTTTATATTTTTTGGGGTACTCAGCAGAAGAAATGACTGCACAATCGTGGTACAGTCTCGTCCACCCTGAAGATCTTTCTCTGAGTGCAGATTCTCATAGAAGTTTAAGTAAGTTTAAAATCCACTGTGGTAAAAAATGTTCTATGTTGAGAAACAAGTGAGATGAGAAACAAGTTAAGGTTCCAAACACAAAACTAAAAACATATTTTAAGTATTTTTCAGAGCATTAAAAACCACCACCAACGTACCATTGACACATACAACAAATGAAATTGCATCATAGGTATAGATTTTTTGGGGGGGGGGGCACGTGGGACATGTCCCCCTCAGAACATGTGCATTTGTCCCACCCAGTAAAAACATGAAAGTAGCAGGAGACTTTTATTTAAAAGAACTTAAAGACATTTTCAGCACAAGTTGATGCAGGAAAAGGAGAACAAGAAATATTGCTTTTATTTCAGTCTAATTTCTTCAGCATTGTGCAGATTTTGCAGGCTTACAGTAAATTAAGGGATGGAGCTCTGGTTTCATTGTAAGCATATCATTAAGTGTGTGAGTGTGCATGATTATAACCCTGAATGCTTCCTCTGACCCGTCCAGTGCAAGCAGATGAGGGCTTCCAGGTAGAGATGGTTCTCAGACTCCAGTGCAAGGATCTGTCATGGTGTTGGATCTACATTCAAGCTAACAAGGACTCTGAGTGCCATGGTGTGAGCTGCACTAACTTCATCATCAGGTATGACACACTTTACTTTTCCAGCACACCTGAGCTGACAGTGAAAGAAACGTTTTTGGAGTCACAAACGTCAACTTACGATATTGTTTTGCTCTTGTAGTGAAACAGAAGCCAGATATCTGCGGGAGAAAATCAGCAGCGATGCCTTCAGGCCATCGTCTCTGGCAAATTCCAGCCATTTTGCAGGTCAACAGGCGCCCCACGCTCAGAGCCAAAACAACACTAAATGCTGTAAAAGGCAGAGGACGTCTAACAGCCAAAGTGAGGAGCCAGGTGCCAAAGCTAGGAGGGAGTCGGAGCAAGACATTTACTATGCGGCGTGCGCCTCCTCCCACGGCGATAGCTCCCCTGTTCCCTTGGGTGACAGCCCTGCTCTCTTCACCCCTCCCTACAGCCCGGCCTCCTCCAGCTCCCCTCTGCAACAGGAGGAGCTCAGCCATGACCTCCTGATGGATGTGCATGGATACACAGATCAGCTGCTGTCCTCCCCTGAGTGCTCTCCCTCCTATTACTCCTACCCAGAGGCAGCTCTCACCTGTCACCAATCACCCTCTGACTCCCTCCCTGCAGCTGCCGAACAAACCTTTGACCAGGCAGCCCTCGGCGCACTCAGTGCTCGCTCTCCACCTTCCTCCTCATCTCCAACCTATGATTTCCAAGCTTGTTCGGCCGATGCTCGATTAGTTCCAGACCGCCTGTCTGTGTCCGACATGTGTGAGAGCCCAGTAGACTGTGCTCTGCATCAAGACGACTTCAGCCTCATAGAGCAGCCACACGGGGGCAGCCTTGTCCAAGTGCATCATGTTCCCCAACATGTGTTGCCCCTACATTCCAGTCTTCTTACCCCCAACCAATCTCCCACATCCACAGAGTCTAACCATTACAGCGAGCGGGAACAGGCAGAGATCAGTATTCTGGCCCAGCAGATCTCCTCCCTGGCCAGCAGCTTTTCTATGCATCACACCCTGAACCCACTTCAAAGCGTGGCCCAACCTGCTCCCACTAACACCCTGCCCTCACCCTGCGACTGGCCACATCACCCTCGTCACCCCTCAGCCCTTCCTCTAAAGCACGAGATGGTCCTCGATGACTGCGTGTTCGACAGCATCCTGAAAGACCTTGACATGGTCACAAGGAAAAGCAGCACGTCCGACCATGGTGTTGTGCCACACAGCTACCAGCAGGGCTTGTTGTGCTGCAGGAGTGAGAACCATCAGTTGGGGCAGGAGCCCCTCGGTCTCCCCCTGACCATCACAGAGGACCCGCTGCCTGTAGAGCATTTCACTGCAATGGATCCCTTCAGTTTGCAGTTGGGACGCCATGACCAAAACACTGGGTTGCATCAACTCAACCACTACATGCAGAGTGGCCTTCAGCAAGGTAGTTTCTCCCAAACACTGATTTGATTATTTTCCTTTGATATATTTACTGTTGGTTACAGATATTAAAGCGACATCTCCCTAATATTATTTTCTGTCTTCCTTCAGATGGACTTGCTGAAGAAAACCTGTACTGAAATAAGTCTGTGACTTACTGCACTACCACTTGTATGACATATTGTCAGGGCAAACTTCCCACTGGATTCAAAAAATGTGAGCAAAGGCATTTAAAGGACATCTTTACAGAGACACTGTCCTCAAATGACTTTACCTGAATGTAGAAAGGCATCTAAAGTAGATCATGTGCTCTTCAGGACTACAGCTTTGTCATCATTTCTCAGCACTGCTGTCAGCTGTGTTTTTTTTGTTTTGCTGATGTCTTGTATTTTATGAAAAGGGTACTTTTTAACAAATGCGTCTGACAACACTTACTCACTGAAATGGAGGTATATTTTTCTTCTAATGCTGAGTGACTGCAGTTTACTATTGAGCACTTTATCAATGTCATTGCCACAAGAATTTTATAAATGAGAGGGCGTGCTGATTTAAAGGAGTATTGCGTAGATTTCAGATAAGCTTTAAGACATGAATCATTCCTTATGACAAAGAGCCATTTGTAAATGTTTGGTTTTAGGTGCCTTAAAAACACAAAGGGAAGACACTTATCAGTTTCCTTAAAAGAATGTATATATATTTACACTACTTACGTCTCATTTTCCTCAATGTGCCAATAATGCTTTCAGTTTGTTCTGAATAAAGAAATCAGTCAGCGAGATGAAGATTGTTACATAAACACCTACCTCGATGGTACATCTGAATACATTCCAAGTCTGAGTTTGATGAATTAATAATATTTATTTTGAACATCACTCCTCACTCTCACTTCATAGTTAAAAATATTTTTTTTACTTAACTACAATGTGAATCTTAAACTTAATCATTCCATATTTGTTTGTTTTTTTGTTTATTCATGGTACTGATACTGCACGTGTCTGAATGTTGAATGATATTGTGTTGTTCCTGCAATTTGCTTCACATGTTTGAAATGTAAATAAAACAAATGAAAAATAGAACAGGTCTTATTGATATAATGATGATGAGGGTATTCAGTATTTCATGTTCCACAAAGACTTATTGCATGTAATACACAAGACTCTCCTCTCTCTGATTCTAACAATAAATGCAGCCACATCTTATGCTTCTAGTGCAAAGAGGGTAGGTATATTTTCTTGAATAAAATTAGACAGTAAGGTCAATTTGGAGAAAAAGCATTTCTAGCAAACTTAAACCTTGATTCACTTTTTGCCACTAGGGGGCAGTGCAACAAGTTGTAAACACAACACTAGCATGCAGTATTATCGCCTTACAGGGTTGTAATGCCAAACATGTTAGCAAACAGTTGCCTGTTCACACATCCAGTAGGTGAGGAGCAACAGTAGAGTTACTTCAAAGTTGTATTTCCATCCACCTGATGATTTTAAGCCCAATGTTCACTCTCTGTTTAGCTGTTTTGGACTCCACCAGGTCCTGAGGCAATCTGTCTCTTTAGCTGCTAAATGCTCCACTGTGTTCACCAGCTAGTTGCTAACTGTGTGTGCCTGTGGTTCGGTACTAAGACGGTGAGCTTCTTCATCAGAAATGACCTGAAAGACACCACAAATCTAGAAAAACTGATTAGTGCAGCTTTAAAATTTACCTTTTGAAGGAAGAGGTATTTACAACAAATGGATCTACTGTATATTTTTATGAGCCCTTCACTGCATCTGATGAGATTGTGGATGGCTAAACAGCCCCAGCACAACGTCTACTGAGCTCCTCAGTGCTTCATTGATTTTTACATCTTGTGGCTAGTCAAACTATGAGAGCACATAAACTGTATACAGAGAAATCAATTCTGTGTTTGGACAGATGTGCAGTCAATGCACAAATGAATAGTTAGACAAAGAAGTGAATTGACTGAGGTGACTGATGGATGACTGTGGTTAAACAGAGATGCAGCTCCAGAGGAGCACTGGAGCCACGTGCCGTATGTGGAACAAAAAGCTCACAGGGGGCACTACTGTCATGCTGCTGGTGCAGTGTGTGCAATGCAGAGCTCTCATGTTTTTCTCATGCCGGTTAAAACAGCCACTAGATGGAGTGATAGCTCCAACAGCCTTCCAGTAACACAGATATCTCACTGCCATTAGTGTAATATTACTTAAACAAGCTTGAAATGGAGTAGTGTGTGCATGTGTGTGTGTGTGCCGATGGGAGCATGAAAGGACACCATTCAGTCCGTTCATGAGCAAACAGTCCAGATGCCTAGTCTTATCCATGGAGACCTAATTAGGAGTGATGTCTGTTGAAGGGTACAATGGCAAATAAAGTCCCTAACAAGTGCCCACATCTGCTCCGCTCCAGTCTTCCTGCATCACTCAGCATTACCTGGAATGATAATGATTTCCCCGAGGCACGCTGACACCAAGTCCATGGCATCGACACGTTTATCCACACCAAGGAGACAGCGAAATTCACCTTTTCACTTCACTGGCAAACACAGTGAATACTCCCCACTACCCCATGTCTCTACAGATTACAGAACACAACGGTAAAGATAGTTTGGCAGTTTGCTGTAGCTGTGGATACGTGATTATTATTAGATCAGGCAAGCTGTGGGCTGAAGTGCTCCTGTTTGGGGATTTTTCACTTAGAAATCGATGGAAATATTTATCCATTATTATTTGTGTTGGCAGTTGTTGTAGATCAGTTGCTGGTTGTGTGTGACAATGCTGTTAAATACTGAAAACGGAATTACATTGTAGCTTTCAAGCCAAAGGTAAGACACACTTAGGGACTGTTCTTTACTCATCGAATAATCCTTTCCGAAGCTACACATATTTTTCCTTGAACCTTCCTGAGTGACTGGTGGAAATTGCATGACCCTCCCTCCACCATTAATAGGCCCTAACCATATATTTCTTTTAATATTCACACCAAATGAAGGTATTGGAACCAACGCAATGAGCAAACAGCACGTAGAGAGTTATCACCAAAACAGGTAGCTCATTTCTTAAGCAAAATGCAAATCCTCCGCATAATTCACATCATCACACAAGCTGCTGTGTGCACCTTAGCAGAATATGGGTGCGTGATAACCACCCGTCCTACCACAAGAAACCAACAAAATTTAATAAGCCTAATCATCACTCTCTCTCTCTCTCTCTCTCTCTCCCTCCCTCTCTCTCTCTCACACACACACACACACACACGCACACACACACACATGCATGCATCACGGCAACATGTGCATAATGATGTGTTCCCACATAAACCGTGCACAATAGTTCTTGCAGTGCCCGGCCAGAATAATATCGGTAACTAGGCACAGCAGAAGTTATGAGTTTTTAAAAACCTTCGTGCATCACTATTGTCTCGCATGCAGGACTGCCGAATTTAATGTTTTTTAAGGGATCAGGTTGCAAGTGGTTTATTTTTGGCGAAACTGTACATGTAGAAGAAAGTGATTTTGAAAAAATGTTACTATTTAGGCGAGCCCAGTCTCACTCCGAAGTCATCGAAATCTGGCGCTTGGGCAGTGACTTGCGGCGTCAGAAACCAACAGAAAAAGGCATCCTTTATCGTCTGCGTGACACACGGCTGGTTGTCATTAGCCTATGATTTAATGGTGCCCGGTGGTGTCAGAGGGTTGTGTTGTGGGACGTGGTTGAAAGTTAAGGCAGTGAAAGTCCGAGTGGGGCGGAAGGGGGGGTTTATGGGTCCAACAAACACCGACTCTCACCTGAGAAAGCAGTGTTTGCATCCCGTAAGATTCTAAGGTTCTTTTTCCTACACCTAACCATGTGTGTTTGTTATTGAAGGAAAGAAAATGTCAATTTGCGTTGTCGTACCAACGTAGTGCATTTATTCTGAAAGAGACTGTATGTAAACGTTGGATTTCCAGTGAAAACAGAAGTGTATCTTGAAAGAAGACAATGCATGTAACAGGCATGATGTGGCATCCCAGAACATCAACAACTTACGCACCCAGGGTACCTCGCACGTCGTATCTGGACATGGAAAGTCCATGACCAGGAACGTCAATATGTGACAAGGTCGGAGTGAGAATGTGTTGGCATGTATCACTATTGTCTCGCATGCAGGAGTGCAGAACTGAATGTTTTTTAATGGATCCGGTTGCAAGTGGTTTACTTTTGGTGAAATTTTAAGAGACATGTAGAATAAAGTGATTTTTAAGAAGTTTCACTATTTAAGGTTACATTTGGGACATTTCCTGGCAGAAGCGCATGATTTGTTCATGAAATATCAGAAATAAGAACAATCCAATTTCTGTTTTTACAGTTTCTGGCTACAATAAACGGTGTAATTCTGGTGATTTTTTAAGTGAACATGTCTTTGAAATGGTGCATTTTAGGGTACAGTTGATATTTCAAAATAAATACAAAATACAACCATTTAAATTTGTATGTCCCTCCTCTAAGCCAAAATAAAAAGCACAGTCTCTCACCAGTGCTTAAAAAGTTATTCATCATGCCTCACCCGTCTTGCACCACCCTCTCCCCCCTCATAAATAATGAACGGTCCCTCACAACAAAGGAAGATATAAACATGTAAAAGCAGCGACAGACACACACAAACACATTCACTTTATCTCTGTAACTTGGGTTAATGTATCACTTAATTACACAGGCGGCCCTCCTGTCTCCCTGATATTAAATTAAGATGATGTGAGATTAAATTAACAAAATCTATGCCTCACAGGAGCTGGTGAAGTACTGTAGGAGTCTGCCAGTGGAAGGCAGTGATGAAATGCATTCGGATGATGCTATGATTCATATCTGGGATCTGAGAGCAGCATTGGGGCTGAAGATGATACCACACAGTAGAACTGACAAAAGAGAAACACAGGCAAAACTGTCATCTGCCCTACTTCAGTAGCTTCTAAAGTGCTTTCTCAGGTGGATGGCTGGAGGGCGGATGCTGAGGGAAAAGCGCATCGGTGCAGTTAAACAGAGCAGCTCATGGATGGGATTCTTTTCAAAGCTGTGCCTCCCACAAGCAGCCAGGTTTTCATATCCTGCCTCACCGCTGGCTTCTCACGAATGATTACCTCATTTACTTGCAAAGAAAAACTCTCCAAATTGAAACTCTCACTGATTTCAGACAACAGGGCCTCAGGTGGTGCTGCCGTGTCTTCGTTTATTTACCGGCTTTATCCTTTTATTGTCACTGCAACCGGGCTTGAGGGCTCTATTGAAGGCTTATCTCGGGGTATACATTTATTTTTGAAATAGATGAAGATGTGGAAAGCCAGACTGTGATTTGTCTATTCTGCTCCGGGATTGTTTGGCAGATGGAAGCGCTGACACAGACGATAGCCGCCAAGGTCACAGAGAGGTGTCGCAAGCTGTCATGAGGTAGACCTGAGCTGTTTTTGTATGTTAACCTGAATCTGCCTTTTCGTTCTCCACACTCCATGAGGAAATTCTGCTCAGTGTGTAATTCATTTTCTCCCTGTCTCAACGTATAAAACAGCCTGCGATTGTTTTGGCTGCATCACATTTCCATGTCTATATCGTTGTTGTCCCACTTTTCAAAGGAGGAACCTGACTGGTGTTGGTTCCATTAGCGCACACACACACACTGACACTGTAATTGGGTTAAACAAAAAGACCCAAAATAGACTGCAGCCTGTTCCTCCAGGACCTCTCCTCTCCCTCCTGTTGCCATGTCTGAAACCACAGCTCTGAGTAAACACTGGATCCCAGTCATGCAGTGTCAACACATCCCGTTGATATTCACGAGAGAAAGGCCAGCCAACCAGGGAGAAGCATGCAAACGGCAGCCTAAGCCTCCTTGCATATGAATGTTTGATTTATGTTCTGCCGCTCTCTCTCAGGGAGGAGTCTGCTGCTTAAGGCAAAGCACCTGTCCACAGATGAGATATAAGCATCCCACTGTGTCAAGATGTGATAAACACATTATCCTTTGTTGATGGAAATTCTTCTGTATTTAAAA